CGTTATTTGCTGGTGCGGATTTCAGCTCCTTCAAATATTATTGATGCCATATGGCATCATACACATTTAAAAATATACCACGCGTTTATTAGCACTTTTTTAAATTAAATTACAAGTTCTAACAATATTTGACACTATTTTGGAGACTATTATATATATATACTATAATTATTTATTTTTAATTTATTGGGTTATTTGGTAAAATATAGTATTTTAATGTAGGTAATGTAATCTACTAAGGATAAAAATAACAATACCGTATTAAAATATAGTTTATAAAACTTCCCATTACAGCGTCGCATATAAAAATATAACTGGGTGGAGCGCGTGTATTTAATAAATACAATCTAAAATTTTGTAACTTGTTATTTATAAAAGATTTATTTTTTTTATTGCCGGTTGGATGCTTGTAGGTCATATAGATCGACCTTTGAGAGGTCACTCATCGGTGAAACGTGTTAGACGTCTTGTTAGTTTAACCTGTTTTAACAAGTTGGCCCAAATCCGCCACTGCGCTGAATGCGGACAAAATTCTTAAAGGCTGTGTCAATAGGCCAAATAAAGCGGTTTGTCCTTTCATTGAATTTCTTGAGGACCATACTCTATTGCAAAATACATATCTGGGGACTTTAATTCTGACTTATAATAATAAGTTAGTGTTTAGCCGAGCATCTCCTTCGATTTGTGGTGTGCGCCTTGATGTGGTCACACTAAAGGGAAGGACATACAGTTTTGCGCCGGACGGCTGTTTTTCATGACAGAATACAGTTGGAGGTTTGCTATTGCCTGCCAAGAGGCGACCGCTATTAGAAAAAAACTTTTTTTTTTGTTTTGGTCGGAAGCTGGGGTCGAACCCAGGACCTGCGGAATGGTAGCGCGCACTGCAAACCGCTACACCCCAGCGGCCGCCTTACTTACTTCGCGATAATAACTTTACACTAGATACCCTACACATTTAACTTAAACATCTAGTACGCTTATCGATATTTAACTTGTTATTGATTACTCTGACATCCTTCTCTACCAATTATATGCGCCTAGTTTATCAAAACACGACTTAGTGTTCCTTATTTACGATTTCGAAATCTTAGTCGTAACTCGCATTTATATCGTGATTTGAATCATATAACAATGCATTTGAGATGTAGGTCAAAGCTACTGACGGGGGCTTAGTACGCAATTTGACATCAATGGGTGATCAAGTAAACTTTTAATAATGCCTTATTAACCTACTTTCTAATAGCTTGTATGGATGTCCCTCTTGTCCAAACGCCTAAAACACAATAGCAGGTTCAATAACAGGTTTAACCGTGATTACTTATAAATCAACGTAACTCAGCATATAAGAAATGGAAGCTTTCAGAACAGATATTTTATACACAGCCTATTTCAGCCTATTTTCATGTTGTACTCGACCACAGCTAGAACTTACACTCGGTTTTCGTCGGGTGTATTTCGTGACTTTTTTTGTAGCACCGTGTAATCTTTTAAAAGTAAAGTGTCTACAAACGAACCGCAGTACCAGAAACACTGCTAACACTCTACCCGGTCAACTAGATCGTCACAGCTGGTTTACTCGTATTCGAATGCTTCAATATCCCAGCAGTAATTCTTTGTCAATACTATTCGCCTTTGGAATAGTCTTCCATCCGCATTGAGACGTATTAAAAGTACTTTGCGTATAATATAATACCTATACCCTTTCAATCTTTATTTTTGCTATCAAAAATAATGTACATCTAAGAGGCAAACTTTTTCAGTATATTGAACTTCTAATTATGTAATTGCAAATGTGTCACCACTAAAATAGATCCAGCACTTGCACTCAATGCCCTCTATCTGGCATTGTCTTAGGAGGATTTTTATATCAGAATCTCATTTTTGTGAAAAGTGCAGATAGAGGGTATGGAATATCAGTCCTCGATATAGCCAATCAATGTTGTGTTGAAACTTATAAATAAACTAGTAAAGAAGTATAAGTTCGGACGAAACCGAACTATATATACACTCAGAGAAGGAATCAAGTTTTTTGTACTCTATCTTAGCATTTAAATCGGATTAAGATTGAAGATACTAAAATAGAGAACACAAATCTTATATTAAGAATGATATTTTTGAGTTCCAATTAATGGAACTAAGATCATGCAAACTTAAAAAATTAATTATATCATTAATTTTTTCACGCGTCTTTTTGTGAAAATATTGTTCATATACATACATCTAACATTCTAGGTCGAAATATGAAAGGTTGTGATAACTAACCCAACCTTTTTCTTTATAATGTTTCTTAAAATAAAATACTCGTACTCATAACAGAGAAGCCTCAAATTTGATTTGAGTACGAAATTCTTATTACAAGAATGCAGTTTCATATACTTAAATCCAGCTAGTTTGTTCTTATTTTTAGGCCGACATTTTTCCCTCAGTGTCCCCGGCGCAGGTATCAAATATCGTCGCTTCAATTTTCTCTAAACTACCTTTGCATGATAAGCAGGGATGTTTTCACTGATTTCAAACGTTTTCAATGATCCGCTAAGTCAGACTTAATAATATAATTAAACCAAGTTTGGTAGACATCGATAAAGTGGTTACTGAGATTGTAGTCATATTGTGGGCGGTGACACCTTCAATTCCTAAAAGTCTATTGTTGAGAGATTGTTGTAAGTATTAACTTAGAGTAAATTAGAATCCTCAGTTGTTGAAATATCGGAGTTTTAATTTTTCTGAAATTTACAGTTACACGGGAAGCGGGTGTAATTTTAGTCCGATTTAAATAATTTTCAAAGAATTGCTTTTCCGTACCAAGGTTATTACGTGCACTGAGTTTGGTCGAAATTGATAAATCGGTAACCGAGATACACATTTGTGGTCGTGAGTGGGCGGCGCCGCGCCCATTATTCAAAAATCTAAAATAATATAATCTTCTGTTAACTTGTTATTGCCACAATCGACTTTGAGTTTATTAGCTTCAGTAGTTATTGATTTATCGCAGCTTTCGTGTTTCTGTAAATGACCGTTATATGAGAGGTGGACCCAATTTTAAAGATTTTCTACTCAGTTTAAGTTGTGCAAAGCTCGTACCAAGTTTTGTAAGGACTACCGAGATACAGCCTCCCATCATAAGTGGGCGGGGTCCCGCTCATTGTCCAAAAAGTTCATAATAGTATTATTTTGTACTAAAATTATACTTCGCATACTAATTTACAACAATTTGGACGTAATATTTAATAAAATATCGCAGTTTTTGCATTTTTCGAAAATACAGTCCGATTTCGCCCATTTTCAATACCAACCTACCTTGGATAAAGGGCAATCCAAGTACCAAATTTCATTGAGACGGACGAGCAGATAGACATGGCCTAATCGACTCCTCTTTTCATTCTGATCCTTTATGTATACATTTGTCTAATTATAGCTATCTCGATTCGTTTTGGCTGTTACAAACAACCGTTATGCGGACAAAGTTATAATACCCTTGTGCACAAGTGCGCTCGGGTATAAAAAACCCATGGTATTGCCCGCGAAGCAATGATGTTGATTTAACCTTCGGCCCTAAGCCGCATAAAATAATTTTTCATCGGCTTGATGACAAACAGATTTAATGCTGTTAAATTTTTGTAGTTTTATTGACGCCAAAAAATAGTGTCCCGAGATTTCGAAAGTATCGAGTACTTTGGTGTCGATACTTTTAAGGATCGGGTATTTTGCAGAGTACTTAGTACAAGCTGACAAAACTTTATTCAAATTAATCCTTCATCTCTTTCGGTTATTTATATAAT